CAGCAGCAGCAGCAGCAGCAATGATGATGATGATGAGGATGATGGTGGTGATGGTGATGACAATGATGATGATGATGATGATGACGACGATGATGATGTTGATGGTGATGATGATGATGTTAATGATGATGATGATGATGTTGGTGATGGTGATGGTGGTGATGCCAATGATGATAATGGTTCAGATGGTGGTGGGGTGGTGGTGACTGTGATGATGAGGGTGACCAAGATCACGTTGACGGATATGACCCAAGAAGCGTTTTCCTGAACTGTTGCTGAATCGCACTTTGACGTCACTTTAGATTTGTCGCAATGGAACAACGGGTAAGAGGAAATTCTTGACAGCAGCAGAGCACAGCGTAAAGCATGCAAAATCCCTTTCTTTATCTCGGGTAACTGGGAGGGCCCCGAAGGGCCGAGGAGCATCGACGTAGACTTTCGAGAAACCCAAAGCCCCTCAAAGCCTCTACCAGGCCCTGTCCTAGCTTCCTGCCCTTCGTCGTGGCCTTCTGTGCCTCCGACCTCCGATGCACCGAGGACTCCCTTTGCAGCTGGCAGATCTAAACGGGCGGCAGTTCTACTTAGGGTTTAAGGCTTTTAAGGTTTGATGTTACGGGTTTGGGGCTTAAGGGTTTTGAGCTTCAGGGTTTCATCTCAGTCATGAGTACTGTCTTGTGGGTCAAGCTGGGCAGTAAGGGCAGCAGCAGAGTCCCTTGTGAAAAAGGGTTTGGAGTATAGCGTTCCGGGCCTAAGGGTCAAGGACTGTAAGTCGAAGGAATCTTCGCCGGCAGTCAAGGGCCAGTCAACCCCACGCCGTGAGCAACCCTTTCCTTCACGCGGAAACCGATTCTTGCAGCGGGTTTAGGGTTTAAGGTTTAGGGTTTAGGGTTTAGGTTTTAAGGTTATGGAATCTTATCCTACACTTTGAGCACAGTCCCAGCTACGCTGGCGGCGAATAAGCTGTAAACCCTGTACGCCAAACCTCGCAGCTCTTTGAATATCATGCGATAAAGTATGGCGCTTGGCACCCCAAACTGGAACGTCTTTTCAATGCCTTTAAGTGAATTATATCCTGAGCCCGAAACCCTACACCCGAAAATCCCAGATCGAATATTCATGCGAAAGCGACACAAGGTTTCAATCTTTAAGCGCTTAAGCTAAACCGGCACCATGCAACCCTGAAGCTCTAACACCTTAAAGACCACGGTTTAGGGTTTAGGGTTTAGGGTTAGGGGGACTCTACTGACGGGGTCGTTAACGAGGCGTTCGAACTAGTATTGCTGCAGACCTTGCCAGGCTTGTCCGAGGGCGAGTGTCAAAAGACTTCAAGCAAGGATACACCCAACAACTTCTTCAAGCGTTGGCGTTGAGCTTTAGAATTCATCAAAACTCAAAACCCTTGAGTCCTTGAGTAAAGAAACCCGCCATAGTACCCTATAGCAACCCGCATAAAGCTCTGAGGAGGCCGACTCCGCGGGTGTTGGCTACTTTGGGCCTGGCCAGATGAGCGTGGCACAGAAGGAGGTGGCAAAGGCCTCCAGAGCCGTTCCGAGTGTTTTCTGGGGGGCGTGGTGGGGTTTCGGGATTAGGGGAGTTCGTGGCATTTTAGGTGGATTGGGGGGGTTAAGGGGACGGGGGCGTTCAATTTGGAGGTGGGAACAGGCAGCATGCATCTGACAGGCCTCTGGGGCGGTTGCACTCTGCAAGACTGCGAGATACCCATGGCACCAAAACGTCAAAGGCTTTCCACTTTCACTGTGTCTTGCTTGGCAGTACATGCAGCCTTTCGAGAACAGCACGAAGGAGTCTGTGAAAGCAACTTGGTGGCAAAGGTCGGCGACATATCCTGCAGGGGGCTTGCAAGGATTTCGGAGGTTCGGAGCTATATAAGGGTTTGGTAGTAGTTTCTCCCAAACAAACCCGAAGCCCCAAGCTGAAGATCGTAATCGCAGACCTCAACACGCTTGCGTTATTGCCATAATCCTGAAAAGCCTAGGCTTCTCCGCCCGAAAGGCTAGACCAACCATCCCCAAATCCACGAAACATAGGCGATCCCCGCATCCCCGCATCCCCCCCGAGCAATTTGAAGCCTCGTTTTGTACGCCATTGTTGCGCCAAAAAGAAGTCCGGTAGCCCCTGAAACAAGGTCACTTGCTGATAAAAACCCTGTTGTTTTGACGGTAAATTACGGTAGGTTTGATCTTATGTTGTACTGTCCGCCTACATGGGTGCACACGTCAAATCCTGTTTTACTACCTCAACTTGCCCAGCTCCTTCTTCAAGTCCACATCTAACAAGGAGATGATATCAATGATATCTCCAAACGAAGGCATGCATGCACCGGATCAAGCGGTTCTTGTTTGAAACATACAACTTCCGAATACCATGTGCATCCGCCTCGATGTCGCCAGTCATCTTGCGGGTGAGATTTGTGTTCTGACATAATGACTTCCAGCCTTTGCCTCCTGCGTCTGCAGTGCTTCGTATACATGACTCAAACCCTAAACCCTAAACCCCTAAATGAGACTGTGCATCCGCAACTCGTGGAGCTTCCATGAGCCGAGACCGGCTATAGAACGCGACCACCCGGCAAAGGTCCACTAGGCTCAGCCTCGTTCCAGGGAAGTTTGAGAAAGCCGTAACATTGCGTTTTTGGCATCTCCATGAGGTACATCTGAAATACAAATATGTATATGTATATATATATATATATACACATAAAAACAAATAAATAAATAAATATACATATATAAATATAGGTTTATATATAGAGAGAGAGATAGATAGATAGTATAAAATGCCACCAGGTTTTTATGGACACGCCTCCTGATACAACAAGTGGAAAAACCCTGTGGAATTCATTGTGGAAAACCTTAAGCCAAGCCCGAAACCCTGAACTACCACTAAGGCCTCGATCTTCACCGAACGCGAGCAATTGCCTCGCGATCGACGGGAACTTGACGACATGTGGAGCCGCTCGGAGTCCATAGTTCCGGGCTTGTCTCTTTATCTGATGGAGCTCTGAGACAGGCAGCCTTGTAGCGGCTCGCTGCACTTCGGAAAGGCCTTCTGCCACCCATGCTCTCGAGAAAACCGCGCAAGCCGAAATTGCCCACATCCATCAAAGGTATGCTTGTCAAAACGAACATCGACATGGCTGAGGAAGAGGCGTGCGTGTGTTAGCAGTGTGTTAGCCGTTCCTTTCGTGCACAGAGCCCTAAGCATGACGCCCGGCATTCTTGCGCCTCGCAGATTGGAGCTCCGGTGCGCATTGCCAGCCGTCAACCGTGCCTGCGACGCGCGAGTGTGATCAGAAGCTTTTTCAGAGGATGCCTTCGAATGGAACCTCCTCTGGCGCACGGCCAACCTCACTGCTGAGCTTGGCTTGATGCAAACCTGGCCGCGACACTTTCCTGCACTTCATGGGTTTCTGGCTGAATGCGGGCTCTAACCGCTGACCTTTGGGACCCTTTAGGATTCGAGCATATTTCCGTCGATCAGTTTTGAGGTGTGTGGTATCAACACATTTCAGTCAGGAAACCCTCAATGCAGTTCGCCTTGGTTCCTCCCCTGAGAGTCTGAGAGTCCAACTCTCTAGCGAACTCCCTGCGGTGCGACTTGGTCAGCGGCGCCGGTGGGAAAAGCCCTCAACACCCAAGCCGCCGAACACATTTCAGTCAGGAGCCCTAAACCCTAAAACCCTAAACCCTAAAGCCCTGCTAAGTAGGAGGCAAAAAAACCCTAAAGCCCTAAACTGCATCTTGCGAGTGTGTGAGTCGAAAGCCCTAAACCGTGGAGATTCCCACACCAGAGCCATCCGCCCCAGCCAAAGAGTTGACGCTTCGCCTCCCAGAGCCGTGCCCATCCCTCAGGCAAAATCTTGGGTTTGAGTTTGGGTTTATAGGGGTTTGGGGTTTATAGGGGTTTAGGGTTTAGGGGTGTAGGGTTTAGGGTTTGTGGTTTAGGGGTTTGGGGTTTAGGGGTTTGAGGGGCTAAAGGGGTTTTGACAAACTCCTGCAAGCTGATTTGCGTTCACAAGGCTTTGATACACTCCAATAGCTTCTTCAAAGCAGCCGATCAGAACGTCAGCAGCAAGGCACCCCCGAGACTTCACGATCCAAAACCCCTACTAAAGAGCACCTGGATAAGGGCTTCTGGGTTTTGAGGGTTTAGGGCCAGTTTAGTTCAGGGCTGCAGGACAGTCGCACAAAAACCCTAAACTCTAAACCCTAAAACCCCTAAACCCCTAAACCCTAAACCCCTAAACCCTATATAAACCCAAATAAACCGCTGCTGAGGTATCTTCGGTGCTCTCAATGGAACTAGCTCTGAGAGCCTCTCAGCTTTAGCTTCGCAGAGAGGGCGCCGGGGGCTCCGGGATTCGGGGTTGACGGCGGGCTGTTGGAGTCCAAAGAGGACTTCTCCGACTCGTGGGCAAAACTGTAAAACTCCCAGAGTCCTAAACTTGGCGAACCTCTCTTCTGATGGGGATGATAGCATACGGAGGCCTCCGAAATGACAGCCACCGTGCCGAGAATCCCGGAGAGTTTGATGCTGGAGATCGACATAGCCGTTCAGGGCTCCGGGGCTGTTGGGCGTCAGGGTTTAGCGGCCTGAGGGATAAAAGCTTGGATTATAACAAGGCTCTTCCAAAAAAAACCAAACCCATGTCGGCGTCCAAAAATTTAGATTTGCAGACCAGGGCCGAGATTTCACAGGGGAGCTCTGCAAGCTCCCTGGAGCCTGAGAACTTGAAGTCCAGTGGCATCCTTGCCTGCAGACATGAAAGCCAGCTTCTGCTTTGAGCCAATCCCAAGCTGGAAGAAGAGCATCCGCCGGAAACCAACAAAGCGAAAGAGCCTGGTTGGGGTGCAGCGTTAGGTTTTCTTTCGATCAGGCAAGTGGGTTTTAGAAGCCTCCCTGCTCTTTTGTTGCTGGGATGGTGAAGCAGAGGTCCTTAGTCGGGTTGAGACGTTAATGTGTGGTTTTCAGAGGTTGACTCGCCTGTGTTGTTCAGGCATTTCCGCCATTAAAGCTTCGGGATGTTAAGTTTTCTGGGGAGTTGACCTCCGACACCCTACACGCTGCCAGTATGGCAACATGGGCGTCCGCCACCGAGATGCCTACAGCTTTACAATTTTTTTATTGCTGCAAATCTAACTATATCCTTATTGTATTGCTATAACTGTTGCTATTGTGAGTATTATTGCTTATGACTATTCTTATGTATCCCTATGGCCCCACCCCTAGGCCTGAACTCGTTAGTGCTGAGAACTCAGGCGTTGATTGGATTCAGACCCGTCTCTATTGGGAACGAGTGTTGTTCCTCGGCCATGCACTAGGTCACTAGGGTTTTGGGGTTTAGGGTTTAGGGCTCCACAATGGTTCTTTAAGGGCTCTAACATGGTACTATAAGGGCTTTACAATGGTACTATAAGAGCTTTACAATGGTTCTATAAGGGCTCTATCAAGGTACTATAAGGGCTTTATAGTGGTTCTTTAAGGGCTTTAGAGTGGTTCTATAAGGACTCTACAGGGTCCGGAAGGGCTCAAGGTTTCGGTTTCGGTCACGGGCTTGGAGCTCTGCCGGAGTGCACGGCTTCGCAGGACAAGAGGGAGAGCCCGGCTGAACAAGGAGCGCGTGTCACAAGACCGTAGTTCCCGAATTTAGGGGCCTATGAACGGGTATATTCATACTGGAACTAGAGAGGGACGAGACGGGGTCATTTCCAGTTTCTTTCTCTCCGCTAAAGATGGGGATCAAGCCCCAGTGGGCAATCCCAGATGCCGAAAGCAGACTCGACATGCTAAGATGGGATACGTCACGATTTCCCCAACCCGGAAACCTAAGCCTTAAACATCCGGAACCCTGAGCACCAAACCGAAAAACCCTTTAGCCTTCTGCCTAAACCCCAAACATCCTCAGACCCCATACTGAGGGCCGAAAATTAGAATAGAAACCTGTGAACTCTTGTAGTAACCTCGTGGCACTCTTATCTGGTCCCTGATGCCTCCGTATGGTAGTACCCTCAGGCACATTGATCTAGTCCCCGATGCCTCCTTCTTCCAGTACCCGAATAGTACTCTTGTCTAACTAAACCCTAAACCCTAAACCCTAAACCTCGGACACATATTGCCATGCCTGCATTTCCGAGTGTGTGAGTCGAAACCCTAAACCCTCAACCCTATAAACCCTAAACCCTATAAACCCTATAAACCCTAAACCCTAAACCCTGATGACTGAAAGGTTCCTTGCTCTTCGCCGGCTCCGGGCTCGCGAAGCGAAATCAGGGCCGGCGCACGTCAAGGCATGCGGGGGAGAGAGGGTTTAGGGCTTAGGGTTCCTTTCATGGCTCCTTGAGGGTTTAGGGTTTAGGGTTGAGGCTTGGGACTCCTTTCGTGGCTCCTTGAGGGCTACTAGAGGACCAGGGCTAGGTTCATTGGGAATTTGCCTAAAGGCTTTCCGGCTTTGCGTTTAGGGAATAGAGTTTGGGACGTTTGGGAGTCTGGGTTTGGAGGGGTTCATGGTCATGAGTCATAAGTGATTCCAGCGTGTCCTACTGTAGCACAAGAATGCTCCTTGAAGGATGTCGGTCTGCCCGGTGCAGGCATATTGGCAAGTTTGGGGTTGGGGTCCGGCCTCTTGGGTTGAGGGATCTTCAGGTTTGGTTTTGGAATTGGTTAGGGGGCGGAGTACGATCCATCTCAGTTGTACGGTCGGAGTCAGCGGATAGTTTTTTCGGGGATATCACTGGCTAGGTTTGAGGTCTAGGATCATAGGAGAGGCCTTGTCGGGGGCGAAGACCATTCGAGCTTCCGCTAGAGGGTTTCGTCCAGATGCTTGCATCCAGAGAGAGAGAGAGAGAGAGA